CATCTCATCTGAATCCGGATTTTTCTCAAAAAGCCATTACGTTCTCTAGAAAAGAACGGCACCGTCTGCGCGTGTGAAGCACTACAGCAGCTTCTTTGCTTGCTGATTCTTGACAAATCGCGCGTCGGAGGGTTTTTTATCGATATCGACCTAAAGGGACACTCACGCAAAACTTGTCAGGCCGGAATTTTTATCACTCGATTCGAAGGGAGTCGATCATGAGGAAAAAGCAACCGTGACTTTGGTGTTCACTTTGATTTCGCCGCCTATTCAGACTACGGTACCCTGCAAAACGTATACCTTATAACCTGCGATGGATTGTCTCTCGTTGCAGACGTAGGACGGCCTTGATAAAAAATACTCGGTACACTTTTGCTGCAAGATGTTCTTGATCCGAGGTCACGTGAACGCTGCGCCAAAGTCTGCGTCTAGACATTCTTGGGTAAGCTGTAAGAAGTAAGGAAGGCATGGAATTAACCCAGGGCTTGGCTGAAGAAGAAGGCCTGATCTTATGAGTTTCTGGTGAGCTTAGAGCTTCAGCTTCAGATGGGCGCTGCCATTCTTGACGCAGGGCTATTCAAGATCAGTTGCAGCTTTGCTTAGTGAGGGCTCTTAATAAAGACCTCCTCAGACTTCCTTCTCTAGAAAGCCTAGGAAAGCAAGTGTGGAGTAAGGGTGGGCAGTAAAGACAAGCCTTTCGGTTAGGGTTGGGGTTAAGGTAGAGATCAGTTAGGCTTGAGCACTCTTGTGAGAGATATCAGATACACCAGATAAATTGTTGCGGGGGGAGATCGCGTTGCGGAGGACGACGATCCACTAGCTGGTGAAGAGGGCCCCGTTGCAGTAGATGTGGCAGCGTCGAGGGTTTTCACTTGAGATCTACAACCGCTCTACTTGAGCAGTCGTGCCTCTTGTCGGCGTTCACACTTCCTGAAAAGCTCATCGGCAGCTTTTCTGATGAGCTATTTGACCCTTGACTCATTGGCTCTACCCAGCCCCAGGCAATAACCACTTGAATTTGGTTCCAAGGGTAATTCTGTGCCCTCCCCGGGCTTCTCTATCAACAATCACCATACCAAAAATCCCAAATTTCATCAAAAATGTGAGCCCAAAAGCTTGGCGTACGGCTACCGTAATGCGTCCGAAGGAGGCGGGGCCAACGGTTCAATGGGCGTGTCTACTCGCTGTCAATTGCACTTCACTTTGAGTGGGCATGTTCAACGTGTCGGCACTTGCCAATTCAAACTCATTAGGTTCAAGTTTATGTCCTACTTTGGGCTCAAGCCTTAGCTCAACCCTAGGCTCGAGTCTCAACACAGCCACCTTGGTAATGGCCTCAGTCAAAGCATCGCCACCTCATTACCAACTCCAGCAGCTGACAACAAGTGAGTGTGTACGACGTTTGATGACATTTTCCCACGCCTCTCATTGTATCAAGATGACCAGTAAACAGTGCTTAGTTCTAAGGTAGTGCCACCCAAACACTCGTCAAAAACACTTGACTCAAGAGTTGGGGGGACCGCGTCGGCGGCCGTCATTACAAGTGTCGCTTAGGGTGCTTCGTTCGATGTTGTTCCACTTCCGTTTATCCTCCTAGGTTTTGGAGCCGGACTGGCCAGAACTGTCTGTCCCTGCTAACCATATAAATGTCACGGCTTCCATGCGTTTCTGTTCAAAATTTCCTGAAGATAGTTTGAGTCCTTACTGTAGAACAACTGCGGCGTCGAAAGAATTTTTTATCAATACTGTATGCTTCGGTTATTACGATCACGAGTCCCTTCATAAAGCGCTCTCCCTACTAAATGTGAACTTCAACCGGGGAAATTGAGCTTACCCCTTTCTTTTGGTGATATTCTGCAAATAGCGCCACGGGGGTCCATTTTTGTGCATATTCCCATGACTCTGAACGTGCACAACTTCCACAAACCTTTTGGTGATGTTCACGAAATTTGTGTCCGTTTTTAAAGACCCGTACACTGGTTTTTTTTGGCTAACTCCGGCGCCAACACAGGTCCTGTCGGCGGCTTTTCCATGGAATCCGGTCCCCCCTTAGTAGAGAGCTCTACGTTTGTGCTCATCATTTTCCAAACAAGATTATCCGCATCTTCCAGGACGAATTCAAATGGGAGACTCCTAGGAAGCGGGCTCAAGATCATCAGTGGAACATGGACGGAACACTTACCGCTCTTGGCTGGTGAGAATTTTTCCTTATTTTGTGAATTTATTTTGTGGATCTGTGTGCAAGTGTAGTCATTCATGGCTGGCCTTGTAACAATTAAGTGTTTAGCCCTTATGTCCTACCAAATTTCCTGATTTGTGCATTGCAATAATGGAAACGTTACCCTCGGGTCGAATTCTTCCATATCAGTCCCATTTTACTCGCTTTGTATTATTCTAGTCATATTTATTTGTCTGACTTTGAACACGATCGCAAAGAGGCCAGCAACTCTTCCGTTCATGCTTCACACATCGCCAACCTTTGGGATCCTTTGATGTTTTTACTGCTCGCTCTAACTTCAACTCCTCGAATCAACCTAATTTAAAATAGTGTAAATATTGGATTAGGTTGGAAATTTACAGCTAACCATAAGCTAAGTAGCGTATAGATTGCAGAAGAGCAATCGATTAGTGGTCAGAGATCGGCAGGGCCGGTGATGAACATCACAACCATGGACGTCATAACCCCTCCCTCTCCCCCCCCCCCAAAGTTTAGTTGAAATGTGGTCAAAACTGAGCTTTTACTCAACTTTGGCAAAGACCTAAATTCCATAACCCGAGGTTATTATATGGGTGGTTCTTCCCCTAGTTTTCATATTTCTGTTCTATCCCAGGACTTGTCTTGGTGAAAAAAATTGGTTTGAGCGGTTCTTTGAATAGGCATCAGAAAAGGCTTTTGATCATATACAGGCGCTGATCGTTTCCCTTTCGAGTTCAGAAGTCTAGTGCATGGCGCATCCTGAAAATTCTAACTTATTTGTCTTTGTGTTTCATTGAGAACAAAAGATTGCCTCTATAAAAGGATTGCTGTGAAAATACAGCTGTCAGTGGCACAGTAGAGGCTCAGGCTCATCAGTCGAATCAACCAGGGAGAGAAGGATATTGGCCAATCCAGGGCAACTAGTGCTAATTCATCTGCTTACCATCAGCTTCAAGAATCACATAGAAACACTAAAAAGTAGTTCCCTACAAGATTCTGCGGATTTTACGGATACGTAACGATGCATTTATTAGTGGTATTGTTGTATATAAGCCATTCGTGACCTTTGAGTTAGCGTGGTTACCGTAACCACCTAAAACTTAATACTGACGAAAGGGCGATATAATCCTAGGGCTTACGCGTACATCTGTGGGTGGGCAACACGGTGCCGCCGAAGAAATGTTTGGATACTGTAGTGTCTGGGTCTCTGGCCACGGGGCGATATGTTGTATTTGCGCAGACTGCGTCTCTCCGAATTGCCTACGCACTCCCAGCCTTGTGTTTGTGTAGCGTTGGAGTATGTTCACGAACACAAACACACACTAGCAAAGCCTTCGTGTATCGCAGATAATCACTATCAGGGATCAGTGATGACGAAAAGAAGAAAGAAGGAAGAATTGGCTGAAATGGCTGGAAAAGACATCGGGGATTGCGTTTCAGTTGTAGCTCCTTAATGGTTTTGCAACCGTAACATTCATATTCGTTTCGGACACTTTAGCCAGTGGAAACATTAATAGCAGCAGTCTCCATGTCGTCCTTTCTTGGAACCTCGGCATTTGATGTTCAATTGTACTGCAATTGTGTTTTGTACTGTATGCCAAACGAGGTTTTTAAGATGGAATCTTTATTTACTGGCCTGACGTTTCGACAGCTTGTTGTTAAACTCCGAGAAAAATTGAGGAATTGGGTGATGGACCTAATCCCTATGGCTGCATCATATAACCAGCGTCTGGGCGTTGTTCCTGAAAGCGAGATATGGAAGCTATCCGAGGAATTATGGATCTTTAGTGAATTCACTGGTCCTCATAGGTTTTATTGTTGAAAATGAGAACACGTGGTAGCTTGCCTGGTAAAAAAAGGCAAAGTATAGCACTCTGCTCAAGTCTGATAAAACGTAAGCAACCTCAAACTTTTGCGAATCAGCTTAAAATTCACGTCATTATACGAAGTTATACGAACTCACTGATGAGCTCCGGGGATTGACGAAATAATAAGGTTCGTCTGAGGAAGGAGCGAAACGAACCATTTTAATTGTTTTGTTTATAAATGTTTTTTCTTTCTTAATAAGGTCAATTTTATTAGTAATCTCTTCTTATTTATTAGTTCTTTCCTGAGTGGCAAGTGGCGTTACTTACCAAGACACTAATCGAACCCTCGATACATCCGGAGTCAGTGGGTATCAGATTCGCATAGGGGATCAAATATTATTATAACTTAAACATCAGTTGTTCTCTCTCAGTCCTCGTTAAGAACAATGATATTCGATTGATCCTTCTGCACTTCTGACTTCTGAATTGAAGTAAAAAGCGTGGCGCATCCCAAAAATTGTTTATCGACGCCACCTCTTTTACACTTTTATTTTATCCTCTCCGGAATTAATTTTGGACCCCAACACACTACCTTACATTGAGCTAGCTTTGCCTCTCATATAACTGCCTGCGAAGATGGCTTTCACCTTTGCATATATTCTGATTTTCGCCGGGGAAATAACATTCTCTAGTTGGGTAAAAGCATTGTAACTTCAAAAAATTACCTGACGTCAAAGCTTTTCCAAGCCTTCAGAAACCGACTTTTTTAATTTCCACTGTAATCAGCAGTTTCAGGTTATCCGTCTGCTCCGTCATTTTCCCTCGAGCCATCCATGTACACCTATGACCCATCATCGAATTTCCATGCAGGAGCGATAACCTCTGGTAAGCGCTTTCATTTTAGAATGAAAGAATCGCCAATACTATAAAGAATATCTAGCAGGTAGTTCAATGTATGGTCTTCCACCGGCAGATCCTTTCAACGAACTGATCCCATGGTTATGGGCAGCGCCAATTCTGATCAGAAAGATGTTGACCTCAGCGATAAAAATGGGTAGGTTACTCGTGTTACTAAGTCGTTACTTTGCTTTTGGAACCTAACTACAATGGATCTTTTTTCTTCATTTTTGCAATCACCAAAACCAGAAAAAATGACCTCTCAAAGAAAAACTAACCTAAAAATGCATATAATTCCATAAATAGACCAAAATGCTTGTTCCAGTTCAAAAGCAGAGGACGAAGACGATGGAGCCGATGCACTTGAGGACGATGGAGACGACGAGTACGATGGGAACGGTTAGCGCTTTTTCCTATGAGTGCATTAATATACAAGGAAATAACTTTTAGTAATTCACTTTAGGAAAACGTAAGAAGCGAAAACGACGAGTTTTGTTCACCAAAGGTCAAACGTACGAGTTGGAGCGACGGTTCCGCACGCAAAGGTTCGTCGCTCTATTTGGAAATATGTTCACGAAATGTTTAGCAAGAAATACGGGGTTAGCACAATTCAACCAAGCATGCTACCTCTAAAATGGTACACTTATAACTAGTGAGCACTAAAAATACCGTAGAAAAAAGTGATATGGACCTCGTTTGAAAGCACTTCGATTTTTAAGGGGCCAGCTGTGGAGAGGACAGGAAGGCTCCAATTCTAACGCTTTCGACGAGGTAAGCAAACCAGCCCTTTTGGCGTTTCGGCTGGGACCGTATGCTGAATGTTGGGGAGGGGATGGGGTCCCCAACGGTCGACGGTTTACTTCAACTCGGTTGGTACGATAGGAGAGTACTGACGCAAGTGGTGCAGCTGGTCCAGCAGCTCCGCCAGAAGGGCTGGTTTGCTCACCCCAGGACTAAGCCTTGGAGAGGGGACGGACCCGTCCTCTCTTTAAGGCTTAGTTCTGAGGTAAGCACCAAATTGTGGCGGTTCTAAGGACCGAGTTGAAGTGGTCCGTCCACCGTCGGGGACTCCATCCCCTCCCCAACATTCAGCATACGGTCCCAGCCGAAGCGCCAAAAGGGCTGGTTTGCTTACGTCCGCTGGGACAAGGATCAAGTCCAGGGCCTGAAGGGCCGGTAAGGGCTTACTCGGAGCATTCGACACTCTGCGATCGCGTGTGAATATTTAGACTTTGGTATATTCGACTAAGCCCATGAAATTCGAGACATCGCGATGGAGTTACTGATTTTATGAGCACGAAAATGTTTGGTAATCTGTGGACGGTTACTATCACCTATGATCAGAACTCTTCGACCCCCCCCAACAACCAACCGACTTGCGGACCGCCGTTGAGCGTGCTTTTCCGCAAGTGCTTGTCATTTGCTTTCATCAGTAGCCGGTAATCTAGCAGTAGTTCTGACAGCAGCATCCGTTGGTGCAGCACGCGGTCCTGGGTTAAATATCTTGAAAAAATGACAGCTCCAAAGCAGTTGAATGTCATTTATCCTTTCACTTGCTTAGAGCTTGCTTATCGTATTCTGAGCCCAGAAATGACTTTTCTCGGACCTTTTTCAGTACCTCTTTTGGAATTACTTCATGATACGAGTGATGGATTTACAATGTTCGCTGACATTGTAGAGTCAGAGCTTTTCTCGACTGTTTGTTAATGTACGAAAGTGCACTTTCTCGACACGTGTTTGTTCTCTGAGGCCCCTGATTCTTTCGATTACGGTAACATCAGCAAACAGAACCATGGCCGGCTTTTCTGAAAAAACCTCTGAGAAGCGACTATGTTGTGTCAAAGAAGCGGCAGCCTCCGTCTTCGTTAGAGGTAGAAATGTTCAGGAAACGAGAACTTACGTGTGGCTTGTAAATATTTCAAAAATCGACCCACCTTGATCTTTACAAATATTGAAAGTAACTCTTGTTATAAAAAGCAATCATATCAACAAAAACTTTTTGTTTAATCGGAGAGCTACGATCAATTTGAACTTGCTAGGCAAATGTGCGATAGAGAAGAATTGTGCCAAGACGATAAGATGAGAGAGGCGGAGATTTTCTATTTAAGTTTGTGTTGATCTCACCAACCTTTAGTGGCCCACCTCTTTGTGTGGTTTCAAGCCGGGTACGGCGTTGATGTCGGATATACAGGGGTGGCCAAAAAAAAGAGACACTTTGCCCATGGCGCACATCATCGAACTTTTCGTCGCACAGGGTGCCGATGTTAATGAAAGTTTTACGGCGAATATTCCTTAGGTGTTCCTCCGTAAGCAGAAGCAGGCCCTCCTTCACTGTCCCCGCCGTCTTCAGAATATGACGTCATCTGCCGCCACCGTCTTGAGATCTGAGACGAAGGTTTCTTTACGCCTAATGCGCTCCGACTTTGAAGAGGAGACATCTCTTCCATTACTAATCTTCAATATGGCGGATGTTCAACTGCCCGTACACCATAAGCTTATCCAGAAGACAGCCTGTGAATTAATGCAAAACCAGCTTATGTATAGCGTTCAGAGACGTCGTAATGGTCTATGGTACCTCGACTCGACGCGCCCGTTGAGCTCGTACCGCGAACCATGTTTCCGTGGGAAAATCTTCTGATGTCGTCGGTGTAGAAGGCTGTCATGTAAGGTTTAGATAGATTAGAAGGTGCTCTTCAATACTGAGTTGGGGGCAGTCGATTTGATTTTAGCAAAGTGTGATTAATGCTGTCTGAAATGTGGAGTCAAGTGTCTTTTTTTGGCCACCCCTGTACATCTTCTTCTTACTCACATCTCGCTCCTTCTTCTCTTGTGTCGGAGGATCAGCTGTTATCGCTTACAGTATCTTTGGGGTGACGGCCTTATTCGAGAGCTTCCGATGATTTCCACGACGCTTTGATTGTCCACAACATGGCAAGCCTCCGCAGTTTTATTAACCGACCAAGCTGTTGCCTTCTCCACGTTAGCACGACAAACAACCGCGCCTCTTGTCTTCACTATGACATTTTCGAAACGAGATTCCCTACTGGCGCCAGCCGCTTAGAAGACCTGAAATTTGATCGGCGCCTGGAAGACTTGAAATTTCTGATTAATTGGAAATTTTAGGCACCTGAGTGCACCTGACCGAGAACAGCTTCCCATCCAAATTCGACTCACTCCTACTCAAGTGAAAAATATGGTTCCAAAAATCATCGGTGAGTTTTTATTTTACTACGGGACAAAAAGTATGCACGAAAAACAGGTAATCCGTACACCTAATATTCGATGAGGAACGGATTCCATTTTGAAAAATAACAGCCACGTTCAACCGCCAATAAGGCGTTATGGATTCATGAAGATATGTGAGGCGGTTAGCCATAAGTACGTATGTCGTTCCTCTGTATAAAGATATTGGTCCCTTTACTTCGAGACTTGACCCTTTAGCTATGCGACTACTAGGCAGCGTAGTTCACTCATTTTTGTTGAATGGTCATTCCTTCTCGTCCTTGCATTACGACCTTTAAAGGCAAAGTTCGGGCTCAGACCCACTTAATGAGCCTTTACGGTGGCTAGAAGCGCTAGGCACGCAAGTGTATGGGTCGCGTCACTTCCCTACTTCGAAAACCGTTATTTAGACGCTAGGCTCTAAGAACTTTGACACGCTCCACCTGCTGCGACACGCTCCGCCCACCGCTCGATATCTTGACTGCGTCGGAATGTTGATCTGCTATGCTCTCTCTACTTAGACTTCTCTAGCGCTCTCCGCGCTCACATTATCTCTCATCTCCCTGCCGGCCTTTTGAACTTCTCCGCACCGTAGAGGAAATGGCTCGTATTTCCTAAGCATTTCACGATTTCTTTTTCTCTTTTCTGCACTGGCGGTCCACTACCTACCCCTACTTTCACATTTAAGTGGAATTAACTCATAATTCAATCCTGAATCTTGCCTTTTAAGAATTGTGTTCATTCAGAGTCATTTCCTTCATGTAAGCCTATAATTGAGCAAATGAAACATTGTGGGTGGCGCTTGAAGCACCGGTAACTCTCACGCATATTGTCTACCCAAGTAGGTTAACCATATGTTTAATAACAGTTGTTAAACCGAGTACAGACGCTCTTTTCGGCAAAATTCGTGCGCAGCACGGCATACCTGACACCGCTCCTAGCCGTTCTGTTGCACAACCATCAAGGTGAGCGCAAAGAGCTTCAAGCCTTCAAAAATATCAAAAAACACATTTGTTGATCGCGTTTATTTCGTCGTGGTCGCCAAAAACGTTGCTCGCCCACATACACATGTTAGATAATAAACTGGGGAAAGAACAGGCGTATCACCGTAGCCACTCCTTTCCAATAAGTTTGCTTGCCGTTGCGCGAGCTGGGTGCCATCATCCACTACTACCGATCAATATGACACAAAAAGTCCGGCCTAAAATTATGCGAGCTTAATTTTCAACAAATGAAGGGGTGATTAAAGGCAAAAGTCAGGCTCGTGTTTCGGCATTATGGCGCCTGATATTGAGTTAGAGATGGGAGGTGGAACGACAGTGAAGAAAAAACGCAAAAAAACTGTCGACAACACCTAAATCGAAACCCCTTTCCTTCTAGCAGTGAAGGAGGCTTGCTCGGGGGAGAGTCACGTCCAAACGAGTTTTCTGGATATGCCAGCCGTTCCATCGGTTGATACGGCAATCAACTCAGCTGATCTCACACGTTAGGCCAGCCACGCACCACATCCCATGGTGGGCGGCCGGAGCGCCTCCAGGCGGCGCGAGCGCTTAATGCATGCCCTGGGGCGTTATTACGGCGCCTTTTGAGATTCTGAGCATGGCAACGTCCCTGTGGGTGCGTAGCCATGCACATAGACGACTAAAGTGATTGGTTTGGTCCACTGAGCCTGACTCGTGGCTTTAAGTCCGCAGGATGATATGATCGGCATTTGGACAGTTTGATGTGCCGCTAACTGATTGGTTTTTTCAAGAACACCATGGGGTAAAATGGTCATTAGTTACAGATACTCAAGCGAAGAATACGATTCAGAGAAAAGGTCTGCAAAACCGTCCAGTGCCCTCTCAATCATCACCGTCCTTCACACCGCCACACGGCCTTTGCTACGTGCAGGGTGGCTTCTTTCATTTTTCAGGCTTAACGCTTCTATACTATCGCAGGAGTCCTCGCACACATAAAAGCAAGAGGTGGGTCTAAAGTTGACAGGGCTTTAGTTGTAACATCAAAACTTCAAGGGTTCATAAGGGAGATGGGTCTCTGCATCCCTGGCTCCAAATAGCTCGACAGCCGACAGTGTTGCGGAGGTTTTATGGGCAAGTTTTATGTGGCCAATGCTTGCTCCTTTCCTTGCACTCTACCAATTCCTTAGGCATTCACCGCTGACAGGAAAAAAGCCCAATCATTCAACGATGTCATGCAAGGCGATTACAAATCAGGGCACTATCCATATACGGGCAATCGCGACTAAGCTCAGGAGTCGAGCAGGAACTCCGTGGAAAGTGAAAATCGCCTAACACGAATTTGGAGCTATAACCCTATCTTAAGGCTTGCAGTCTCGTTTTAGTTAAAGAGGCACATTCGTACTGCACTCTTATATGCCCTGCCCCCATATATTGCGCCCAAACGGATCTAAGAGTCTGCCAGACGACCAAATTCAAGTCCGGTAATCTTTACTTACACTTCTGGCTCAGGAACATCTTTGAGCTTGCAAGACGGTATTCTTTGAATCACTTTCGCAACGCGGTAGAACGCTAAAATGATGTCTAGTGGTTTACCGTTGCGGGGCATGTTCTGACTGTCCACTATGCAGGGTTAGCCTTGAAAGGGTAATGCAACAAAAAGCTAGAAAACTGCAAAAACAGACGAATCGGGTCTTTCTGGGTGTATGTTTCAGAGTTACGAATCTTTTAATGCTATTATACTCATAATCTCATGCTGCGATTGAGAGCAGATGTGGTTCGTAGACATAATTAACAAGATCGTATCCAGATCATTGCAGCGATACTGGGGCGAGGGATAGCCGAGTGTGGTTAAGAGGTTAGACTCATGTCTGCACCTCTGAAAAACCGCGAGTTCGATCCCTGCCGAGGCTCTAAACCATGCCTTGCAAAAATTGCAAAAATGGTTCTAGTACCAGCGTCAGGCCACAGGTTGACATGCCGGCTTTGGAATACCCCAGTCACATCTCCCATGTCTGAGTGGCAACGACTGATAAAGAGACGCGCGACGTGTGCTGATGTGCGGGCGGTTGTAACGCGACCGAGGGTGGAGGAGAGGAAGATTGGGGTGGAGGATCTCTGGGCACATCTTTCGTTCTCATCTTACTGATTACTTGGCGCTAAACTAGCCTCAGCCTTTATCACGCCCCATTTCTTGGGTTGTTTGTTGGTCACATCTTCGCTTGCTGTCGCGAGCTTGGGCCCGGAAATAGATACAAAATCAACAATTAAGCAGCACCGGAGGTTGTTGGACTTGTGTGAGCTGTAAACATCGTATATCGAAATACCGGTTGCTGTTGATTGCTGTGAAGAAGTAACGGATCGAATTTTAGGGTGGACACAATCGTAAAAGCTAAATTCACATTGTCTCTTACTTTTACACACGTCATTTACGAGTTAGTAGTGAAAAACGTTTTTTGGGTAGGGGGAGGAAGGACCAAGGGGAAGGGGGAGGGAGAGGCTGCAAACGCATAAGGGAGCATAATGGACTTAGTGAAGGAAGTCAAACGCTCGATAACAGAAAAATGTCCCTTGAACGAAAGCCGAAAAGGGTATCTGGATCGCACCCATGGATGGATGACTCGAGCTAAAAAATTATAGTTGGGTCGTTTATGAGCAGTCATGCTTCGACGGGTATTTTGCGAGCCGTTAAGCTGGTCTCAAAAGACAGTGATAGCAGTTATCACCGCAGTTGTCTGTTTTATCTTGCACGCCCAGACGCGAGCTTTCAATGTTAAGCATTTTCTGTACCCTCTTGGGCTCCAACTGTTTCTTCCTCAATAGCGCTGTTACAGTTTCCGAATGCCGATCCAAATGTTGGTGAGAGATGGGAAGCCGTGCCCGCCAGAGATATCTTCTGGACCATATCAAGCAGCGGCGGCTGCTGTAGCCTTCGGTGGAAGTGGAGCGAGGTGAGTTCACTTTCTTCAAGAAAAATATCATCAGGTATTCTAATGGCGATATTTCCAGCTATCTTCCGTGCTCAACAGGTTACTTACCGACAACTGGAGGTTATCTCTCTCAAGCGCCTCCCACATCGTCGTACATGGCCAACAGCTGGGGATGGCACTAGTGGTCGTAATCACTGGAGCTTTCCGAGGAACTAGATACCATATTGAATGCGACTAGATAGAATTCAGTGTCTCGTTCACATCTAGCCATTCACGATGCTTTCTTGAAATGTATTGAGAAGTACGCTATTGACCGGTAATTTGGAGATTTGTTTCTGTGCTTGTGCTCTTAAGACTCTACAAATACATTTATTATTTCTATCCTTCCTATGCTAAACTATGAATCGATACGCGTCAGCTAGACTATGCAATAGAAACGAAAATAGTTTTCTTATATTATTTATATTTGACATAAAGGGTTATTGCTGTTCCTACGACTACAATCAAGAGCATAATTTCTTTTTCCTTCTTTTTGAAGCGTCTATTGGAGAGCAGCGGGAACCTTGAGATAAGGGTAGGTAATTCGCTTCTTTGCGATGAAGCCCTTGAGCAGGAACTCTTCTGCTCTCCCTTGTAATGAGAGAGGGGCGTGTTCGGACGAGTTTTCTGAACTTGCTTGCTGTATGGCTCTACTAACGCGCGCGTTCATGATTTAGCCGCTACGTCGTAGTCAAAGGTTCAGATCACTTTGTAAGGCCCTAGCACCACTGTCGCGTACTTTCGAGACGCCACAATTGCACACGTGTGTTACTCGTGGGCTACTCTATCTCACCAATAGAAGAGATTCCTTGGCACGACCTTATTTGGAGTTGTTGCTCTGAGAGCTTAGGTTAGCGCCCTTAAAGTTTGATGGGTGTGGCTTCTCTCCACTCTCCAAGGGTAAAAACTGTCGCGTCTGGGATACAATAACTTGGGTGACTGCCTTATGCGGCCATTTCGAGGAACGCTTCACACCTGTCTATCTCTTAGCCTTCTATGCTCCAGTAGGTCATGTTTTTAGCATCTTATAGGGAGTGACCTGAGAGGTTTTCCTTGTGAGG